CTTGATGAAACATATGTTATTTTGTTTGTCTACGTAACTAGAACCAAGAAAGACATTAAATATATTTTTAAAAGCTGGGAGTATCGAATAATTGTGTAATATGTTTTTGAGGTTATGTCGTATTATTTAAACTAGCATTTTGAGTTAGTTGAAATATTTAAAGCACACGTCACATAATGCCTAATCGTGGTCCTAAAAGTGCATACTTTCACATAATACTTCAAACTTGCTCCATATTTGATATATTATTTTTATTCACTGTAAGAAATAAAATAATTTTTTGTGAACCAATAAACCTCCAAAAAAAATAGATTTTTTAAGATTGCTCGCAATAACTCTACTTTTCTATCTTACACAATATCCATCCAAGATACCAAACTATGGTCATTATATGAACACAGCATCCCAGTGATCGACCAATAAGACAATTACAAGAGTGTTCTCTTAGGCCATCTAACCCGGATGTGTCATTATTTATTAAAATGTACACATAATTTTGTTTCCTCCCAATGTCGCGACTTAATTCTACCCCTTATAATTAAGAGTTTATTCATATTTAAGTCTAATTCTAATAAATCCAGAGAATCTGGTATTTCTCTACAGACCTCAATTCTATACTGCCCATGGAACCTAGTATGCTCCCCATAATACAGAAGATAATACTAAATCGCCGCCAACCAAAGTTACAAAACGGTCGGTATAAAAATATCGTCTTCACATACTTGTATAAAAAAAGGGGGTCACAATCGATGGATTACTGTAATATCGATTTTTATAAATAACTATTAGTTTCTAATTTCATTATAAATAAACTATTTTCCTCTAAATAACTTCTAATTTTATTAGTAATCTATCTGAGATTTACAATTTTCATGGATTTATATGGTTAATATATAATATAATGTTTGTATCAAATTTGATTAGTCAGAAATAAAATCGATCTTGTTCTTTGAGAAGAGATGGACTTCTCTAGGAATGACATTATGAATAAGACGCGTTCAAAAATAACATAATTTAAACTGCGTTCTAAAAAGTAAAGATTTATTTTAGAGAGGATTATCTTTCTTTTCCCAGCTTTTAAAAATAAATTGTTGGTATATAATAATTACATTCAACTTATACTACATTTTGGTTATAGTTCCATCTTGGTAACAAGATTTTTTTTTCATAGTCCATTTTGACCATTGTTCTTTCTGTCTTTTTGAGTTTGAATGTTTTTTTTTTTTAAGTTGAGACTTGAAACACACGGAATACCAACCAAACCTAGGTATATATAATTTCTATTTTTGTCACTAACATTTCCGTAATTAATATTTATTGACAAACATGTAGCAAACGTGTTTTTGCTACAGACGTCACAGCCTAAAATATCTAATACTTATCATCTCTTATATAATTATAAACGTCACAAAAAGCTCGAAGCTTTGTAGGAATCGTTTGTACGAAAACGCACCTATAATCGTACTATTCGAAGTGCGTTTATTCGCTATCGACTGCGGTAAAGTAATGAGAATTTACGACAGCAACTCATGGTAGCGCTACAGTCTACTCTGTCACCGGGCAAGCGCGAAATCTTCAGAATTCAGAGCTACAATCAAGCGACCAAAGAACGCCTAAACATTATTAGATAACGCTCTTTTGTTAACTTACCTATGGATTTACTGATATCTTTTATAATAATACCTGATACAACTAATGTTACTTCCCAAGCGTAGAGAACGAGATAACTGTTGGTCACTCTCCTATTCCCGGCACTATTTTGCTAGGATAAAGTGTGTTCTACACGGTTGTTCCTAAACCAGGGGGCCAATTCTACTAAATAAATTTTATTTAAATCTACAAACTGACATACGATACAATTTCAGTTCTATTTTAGCTGGTTTTGTATCGTATGTCACTTAGTAGAATAGAAAAACCATTAAAAACTGTAGTTTCGTTCAGTTTCAATCCGTTTTCGAATCGATTTAAACAAAATTTATTTAGTGGAATTGGCCCCCAGACCAGCTTTTTTCTGCTAATGGTAATGTAATTATGGCTTGTCATTGACGTTTCAATAGCAATTTGCTAGTAATAGTTTTCACTGGCGTATGATGTAGGTGAAATAATTTTTAAAACAGGTCCAATAGTTTTGAGGCCTATTCGATGCAAACAAACAATCAAATATTTCCTCTTTATAATATTAAGTACTATAGATAACATAAAATCTGTCATCGTGATTCATTAAGACGCCCAATGTACTAATAATATTTGGCGTCAGTCGGGGAATGTAACGGGAAAATGGATTTAATTGGAACGCCACTTAAGTGCCGTTATTACGTTATCATTAGCAGAATCAAAACCTAGCATTCCAATAAAGGAATTCGTGAGAAGTCGGTTTCCAACAAAGGATTGTGTTAGAAATTCGGTTACAGTTTACAATCAGAGGGAGTTGGCAACAAGCAAGGTCACCCCTGTTGGAACTCTATATGCAACCGTGTGCGTCAAACTTTATCAATATACCATAAATGAAAATATAATAACTTTAATAACTTACACGATTTGGAACAAAAGTATTTATTTTACTAGTAACAATGTAAGTTAACAGTAGCACCTAAAAATATATCTATGGGAATGCATCTAGATCTGCAGTGTTATTCTGTTATAAAAACAGATTCAATCTCGATGTCGAGCGCAGCGCTGTCATAGCATAGAGGTCCGGTTAAATAAAAACTACTTGAAAATGTAGTAAAAGGGAGGTAAAATAAAACCTATTTGAAACGGTAAGAAAGGAGAGTCAGTCAAATAAAACTTCTTCGAAACGGTAATAAAGGATAGATTCTGTCAAATAATATCTAATTGAAAATGTAATAAAGGTCATGCTGTCCCAGCGCTGCTCGACGTCGAATTCGAGGCTGTTTTTTAACAGAATAGCATAGCCTACACAAGGCTTTACTAACTCCTTTAATATAATGTTGAGAAAACCCTGTCCGATCTCTGAAAGCAATATTAGGTCGATATGGAAAAAAAATCTATTCATGTCCAATCCATTTAATTAAATAAATGAATATAATATTAATATAATATTCTTTTAATGAAAAATGATTTTTCCAAAAAAATTAATGAAGAAACTTTACATGGCAACACAGTGGAGAGCGCGGTTCGCTCTCGCACTCACGCGATGACGCATCCTACTGATCATGGTTTTGCCACAATTAATAAAATTGCTCGAATTTGGTAATATTGCCATTGCGGGCAAAAATAATGTCACTGGATTTTCAAAATGATTTAACACATTTTTCGGATCAGACAGGGTTTTCTAACTTATTGTATAAATACGTACCAGTGTATTATCTACAGCGGTATTGCCATTACATTAGTTTTGATGACTTTATTATTATTCATTTTGTGTAATCACATGTAATTTAAAATTACAAAATAAACACCACCAAGTATTCCAAATTTTGGAACAATAAAATTCTATAATTGTTACTACGGTAACTACTAATGGTTACTAAAGATTGAATTTACGGAGACTCAACAAATTCGTAATATTATTTATTGTAAAACAGGTACAAACGACAGCAAAGGTAAAATTAAACCAATCGATTTAAAGCCCTAATATTTTGTTGCTAAAGTTCAATTATGTGTTTTGTGTAATAACCAGCTTGGCTACCGCGTAACTACACTTATATTGATTTCATTGACTTTGTATTGAATCAAAATGCATACATTGCGTACGTACAATTCAATGTCAATGAAAATTATATTAAAATTTTCTATTTTTAAACTATTAACTTTACATAATAAATAATTTCATATATTCGAGTCGTGTTTACATTTTTTTATTATATATTAATTGTTTATAGTATGAACACATAAGTTATAATCTTCATATTCACTATAGGTACTGTCCACAGCATATAATTGATAACAATTTTATTGTATGTAACTATGTAGATCACATTAAGTTTTAATCTTATGTAGCTGCATTTTCTGTCTTTCTGTAAATAACTAAGATAATAGAAGTAAGACTATAGTATTATAGTATACAGAAGCACTATTAATTTTCCACTTGTTTGTGATACGGTATAATGTAAAAACAAACCCAAATTAAAATAAGCTTTTCTTTATTTCAAGAATGATACAACATTCTAAGCATTCCCATACTTTTCAGATATAGAAAACTAACATTCAAGTTTAAAATTAATTGCTTTTTTGTAACCTGAATATGCTGTTATCTTTACCTAAACTTATATTTTACTATGAAACATTAGATAAACTTCATATCTTGTAAGTATTACTACATCTATTTGATTTATTTAATATAACATGTATTTGATGAATTTACTATATTATCTATTTATATGATTACAGTAATATAGGTCAAGCACATATGTGATTAATTCAAGTATTACTCAAGCAGAAAACGAGGGAAATTTTTAATTTTTATTGTTGGAGGACGGTTTGACTTGTTTACGTTAGAATTGTCCTACAGGGCTTGAGAACTAAAAAAAATATACCGCTTAATAAAAATTTTCACTATGAGAACCATTTCTTATACTGTAAGAACCGAAATTTCAATTTTGAATAACCGAAACCCAAATGGTAACACTCTCAAAAACAATTTTGTACGCAGCTTGTAACGAGCTGGTTACAAGTGAGCAAATAATTTAATAGTCTAATTTGAACATCTACTTATCTTTAATTGCAATAGACAAATGTTTACGTAAGTATAGGAGGAGATTTCTACTTACATATGCAACATAGCACGTTAGGTTACAAATTAAGTTTAAACTTGACTGCAGAAATTTAGTCTTTGCTGCAATGGTACCTATAATGGTACAGACAATATCAACGTTATTTGCGTTACATTGATAGAATACTGAAGTTTCCAATGACGGCGTCTTTATTTTAAATATTCCGATCTATTTCTTTTCGCAAAACTAGCGAAATTATTTAGATTTCAATTTCCACATGTTACAGTAAAACGAAACTGAAATTAGACCTACGAATTCAGGTGAGCGAACCTATGATTAAAATTCATTATCAGTACTGTTTTAACAGCTAAAAGCTATAAAATATAGCATACTATATTTCCCTCCCAATCACATACAGTAGGGCTTAAGCAGATCGCCCCATAGCGCGCTACTTGAATCAACCTGATTGGTCAAAATTAGCTGCCCTTGGAAATTTAGCGTCCTGTGCAAGTTTAGTCGTTGTGTCTGTGCAAGTTTTTTACTGTAACAGCATAAATTGATATTTTTTTTAGTATATTATAAGGCCGTCAAATTGAGAAACGTTTCAAATATTCTATTATTAATAACCAAACATTATGTGACCCATCTTCTATAAGTGTGATCCATTAAGTAGGTGACGCCGTGGTCTATAGGCACGATGATAATTGGGATTGATGCCAAACCTATCCCGACGGTGAGCAAAGCGCGCGCCGGAGCAGGAACCTTCTTAAATTTATTGAGGGCACGACCGGAGTAAGCGCACAACCTGATAAAATAAAAATAAAAGACCATTAAAATCTTAATGTGTAATAAAATCCCAAACACTCTGTGACGCCAACACGAAGTTTAATTTTTTCTTCTGGCAATTGGGAAAATAACAAGCGGCAATGAGGAATTAAAAAAAAATAGTTCCCGAAATCAAACTAGATGTTGCTACGGTACTTTTTTGATTTCTCCATGACAACCTTTCCGGTTTTCTTTCATGTATAAAAGTAAATTAATTTTCAAAAGTCAATAGACAGCTCATATTCTAATTGCACTTTTTCGTATTTGTATTGATATCTAAGTTTCGAACTTTGCAAATTTCAATTTTTTAATATGTTAGTTAAAAGGAACGGTAATGACTTTCTTCGGTACATTCGTTTCCTGCAATAATCAACTTTTGGTTTGGTAGAGTCGCCATCTAGTGAGGTGCTTTTTAGTGTTGTTGTAAAGGACTAATGGAGTAAACACTGACAGCGAATACTGTACCTAATATTTAACTGTTAATTTATTGTATTGTCATTTATATCGCGATCATAATAAACAAGTAACACCGTTTCACTTAAAGCCGTTTTGATGTACTTATAATAATCATAAACTTTTATTCTTGTAGGCACGGTATTGCATTTTTCCGTGTTCCTTTCCTTTTGTGTTGCTAGAACCTCCATTAGAGCCAGAAAGATAGACGCCGCGGATTCGTCAAAGCGATAGGAAACACGTTATTTTTATCTCTCTAACAAATGGTGGTTCTAATCGACGATCGAGAACAGGATAGTGATGTAACTCAACCCTTAATCTTGCTACTGTCCTTATCATCGTTCTCAGCCTATTAATGTCCCCAATGCTGGGGCACAAGGCTTTTTATATAGACCGAATCTTTAGCGTACTTTCTGTGCCAAATCAATTTATTTAATTTTTATATGGGCCATGATCCACATGCTGGTCCAGTAGGCCAATAGGGATGATGACTGGGTAAAAAACATGCAATTCTATTTAGTCCGTCAGTCTGATAATAGAAGAATATTAGATACGTTTTTTTACTTCAATTTAACAAGAAATAGTATAGATATCAGGCATTAAAGTTGAGGAGTGGGGGCTCGCTACGTCACAGTTGAGTAGAAAACGTACTCTAACGTGACGTCATGTGAAATTTCAACTCAATGTAACGCCGTAATTTTATGATTACGAAAAAAATAAAAAAATACGTGTTTAATATTTTTTAACACTCTACCTGACGGACAAACAAACAAAAATTAGTCATCATCCCTATTCTACTAATGCTTACGTAATAACCGCATCTCAATAGAATCTCAACTAGGGCATGTACTCGTAATATCGGAAGGTTTTCAATTCCGATATTGATTTCTGATATAAGATATTAGTCACAGGATTCAGTTGCGAACAATAAAAAAGTAAAATCATTCATCATCATCATCAGTCTTTATTTGGTACTAATGTTTTTTCAAGTTAAAATAAATAACATTGCTCATTTATGATTCGTTCGTAATCTTACTTATTATTATGAAATTACCTAGTTAAAAATCAACACTTCTATAACATCTTATAATAATTTATATTGTTATATTTGTACTCACGTATTAAACTGGAAAATAAGGTGTTTATTCTTTTTTATTTTTCTCTTTGAGGCAGGTTACGATTCGAAATAATGTAATATAAATGAATATAAATTAGTTTCCTAAGCTATTTTTTGGATTTTATTTATAAATATCAATTTTAATTAATGAATTCTTTGGATTTGATCAGATTTCAATTTGTTGCAATTTAGTATGATTATATCATTGTTTTATGTCTAATTTACTCATTACTATAGATTATCCGTTTCTTGATTATTATCAAATAAATGGTTAATTATGTTGACATGATATTAGGAATTATGGTTCTGTGTAATGTTTTACATAAATATATTATTTTTGTTAAATATGGTTACTTACTTTTCTTGGAGGTTTCTACAACATGGTGTGTTTTTACCTTTTGATAAGTCGTCATTTATCTTTTTATAGTATAAAATGGTAGTTTTTTACCGATATTACGGTTTCAGACGACTCAGTATCGAAATTGTAATACGGGAATTTTCGTTCCGAGATTCCGATATTCATGTCCCAATCTCAACTACTTGCATTTTGCCATTGTACTATTTACATGAAGTCTAATATTATTATGTATTCTTGTACCTTTATATGCATGCATCGTGCTTATGTTAAATCTAACCTAATTTGCATTAAGAATATTTCGCTCTTATAAAATAATGAACTAAATACCTATTTATTGTGATACCGGGTAAGATTATGGATGCGAGAGTTTGCCATAAAAGGGCATCTCCAGAAGCTTTCATCACATTTCTCGGCCGGCCATCTTCCTGTAATAATCCACCGCATCCTTTCTATAATGCAGGAAATGGTCTTAGAATTTTATCTAAAGAGAACTTAACTTATATATATATCTACCTCATTCCATTGGAACAGCTGTTGTAGTGTGTCTCGTGGAAGTCTTCAAAGATGGTCCTAATATAAAGTTTTTATCTCGTTCAATAGAATGGTGAACCATTTTGTTTTTGATTGATTTGATGACAGATGCTATATAAACATTTAAATTTTTCTCGCCACATCAGTGAGGTAGGTATTTCTTCATAATTATTTTTACACTCACAATAATATATCGACTTCTTGTTACTACAAGTGCTAGGAGTTTCAAATTTTGCATGCGGATTCTTTTTAGGACGTAGGTGCTAACTAAGACGGGGTTTTACGAAATTAGACCCCTAAGCTGGTAAATAAGGGGATGAAAGTTTTTATGGAATTTTACTCATTTCTGTACTTAAAACTAGATCACGCTGGCGAAGACGCTGACGGAAGGCTAATAGCTTATAAATTAATGGATACATAAAAGACATAAATACTCTCCAAAATAATCTGATAACAGTTAGAAAGACTAAGCCCAACATAAGAAGCAGGAACAATATTGTAGGTATAACTATAAAATTGTATTCCAAAATCTTAACTAAATAATATACACATGCAGGTACAACACATAAACTGTTGTAAGCTGTAATTGGCAAGAAAAGATGAGGTCATGATCAACATCTACATATATAGATACAGTTGGCCAAAAAAGTGGTTAATCAGTTCTGACAAAAGTTTCCAAGAGATCCAATTATCACTAAATTTGTTTTTTTTTAAGAGTTAAGATACTAAATTAATTGAATGACAGTTATCTGAGATGTCTTACATTTGATGTAAGTTACTGTCATTATAATACTACAAGCAAATCAATTTCATTGTTTTATGATGTTGAAATCTACCTAAATTGCAGGTTATTGACCATATTTTTGGTTAACCATACCAGTTTAAAAACATTCTAGAAAAGTATAAAGATAAACAACATTATTAAATTCATAATTGAATGACTGAATGAAATATGCTCTAATTTACAACAATACAGGACAAAAAACATGAACATATAAAAATTTACCTAGCAAAATTTAAAAGGTAAACAACATTACTAAATTCATAATGGAGTCTACACAAATATAAAAATTTCATGTGAAATTGTATATGCTTAATATCATTTTCTACATTTGAATTAATAGTTCTATTTATTTCGCTATAAAAAACCTTAACATTACATCCATAACATTATTCTACTTAATTTGAATTAATATTTTATTTAATCTTGTTTTAAACATCTACTTAATTTATATGAAACAATTTAGACTAAAATTATATTCAATAACTTACCACAAACATCTTGACTCCCTTGTCCATAGTGTCGGCTACAACATATGAGAATGCTAGCCCGTAACTGAACCGCACCAAGGCTGATGGTACAACAGGACGGAACGCCTCACCTACTTCATTGGCATATCCTGCAACATGGACCTGTTCAGCGACCTCTACATCACCAGAGATGAGTAAGTTATATTTGTTTGAATAATAATGAAGTTACAAATTAGGTATTTAATCTGTAACTCCATTGTCAGATCAATCCAACATAAATATGAAATTTTTTCTTATATAAAAATGGAATAAATGCTTTTGTAAACATTATAAACTAATACCTAATATAATTTTAAATAATGTCTACAAAACATACCTAAGTATCGAACCCAAGTATCCCTGAAGATATCACAAGGCGGTTGGTCGTTCATTGTGTTATACAAAGACCTAGGTTTACAGCCTACGTCGCCTACCGTGAATAATATTTTTGTATCCACAATAACATGCTGGAACACTGAATTTATGTAATTTCTAACGACACTTCATAGTCGTAACTTAAAGTTATGTAAACAACATAGTTACATATACATTTGATTGATTATAGAAAAAAATGTATTAAGGAATGGACATGAGATTACTTCTGAATAGTTTTTTTTGCTACGTCACATATTAATTTTGGAAAGACAACTTTGTAATATTTTTGAAATTTTTCGCTAAAATTTCACTTGACATTTTTGAAAGGCAATAAAAGTGACAGTGACAGTTTAATTTTGACTAGAGTTGTATTAATGTTCGATTATATATATACATATGATTTTTATATATATTTGACCTAAAAATAATCGACTCGAATCGATCATTTATTAATTAATCAGAAGGTTCATGTATCAATTCGTTATTTTAGCATAGTTGTTAATTAAAGAGTATTTATAAAGAAAGTATTAAAGGAAATATGACTTTGGTACAATAAACATAAAAAAGAAACAATCTTGTGAATTCTCCATACGCAATAATGTTATTTCCATTGCATACATAACACTATATAATCAACTGAAATTTGTAGTTCATAAAAAAACATTTATTGAAGCCTAAAAAAAAGATTCGAACAGGGATGAACTCGGTTCACCATCTTTTAAATTCTCTTTTGATATCACGCATTCTTTTAAATATTATATCAAGTTCAGAGTCAGGTTCATGTTAGTTAGAAAGAGTAGAGATTCAATATTCATCGATATCTTTACCATTTGCTCATCCCTAATATTGATTGACAACGATCATGACAGCAGCAAATGTTTTATAGATAAGAGTAAAGAGATCGTACTTTTACAGCCAAGTTGGAAGTATTAAATAATTTTAATCAAAACATTCAAAAGATGAAATCGATCTTTCAATATTTCTGAACCTTATATCCACAGAAAAATTATCCATTCGCGTTCCTGACAAATTAAATTCGGAGAACTTATTACACTAAAAATGTAGAGAGATGTTTCAGTTTTTCTAACATAATAGCTATAGTGAAAAACAAAGTCATTGCTTAGACAGAAATTAAGGCGCTATTTAGTAAAAGAGAAGTTTTTTGCTATCTAATTCTAAAGATTTGCAACCTATTGAGTTTTATAAACTAATTATATTTACACAAATAAAACAGCAATTATGGACCTATTTCTAGTACATTATATTTAAAAAACCGTTATAAGTGCCGTTCGGGCTCACGTACGAAGGATCCCGTAGATATTTCATTAAAAAGGTAAAAAAAACACGTTTGTTATTTTCTATTGAGTTGTTCGAAATTTTCGAGTTAAATACAATTTGACAAGTGTGTTAGTTTATCCTTTTAACTTAATTAGATATAGGTGCTACCGTGTGCTACTGCCGTAACGTTTGAATTTTTACCAACGTCAGTTTAGTTGGTTGGTTATCAACCTCACTTTACATGTAGAGGAGGTAATAAACTCGTATACTCATGTTAAATTACCACTTTCTAGTGCCAAGAGTTTTTGAGATAAACCGCGGACCATAGATATACATAAATATTGGTTGCAGACAGATGGACATGGCGAAACTATACGGGTTCCTTGTTTACTACAGAACCCTAAAATATTAACTACATAAAGCAATTATCAACACGAACCCAAGTGTACTGATTATATTATCCTGAAAAGTCCTGGATTTTTAAAACGTCTTAATAAGGCGATGAGTTTTATAAATTGCGCGGTGGTTTACTTGGTGTTTTTTTTTTAAGAAAAAGAAAATATTATACTCGAAAATATTATTTTTCGACTGAATTAACGTTACCGAATTGCTTTTATTAAAAGTTTTTATAATTATTATTACATGCTTGAAATTTGATACAACTATTGTGTTAGGTAGAGGAGCCGAAGAGGTAAAGGATAATGATGACTATATTAGGTACGGGGTTCTGTTTTGAAACTGAATATTTCAAACATTTCCAACTTTAAATCTTAGTTTATGAAATTTATAGTCTGCTATCCCTGTTTTGTCGAAAGCGGACTGCGTTTTCGCACCATAACATGACTGGTTTCTAAGCGGCCGTGGCTGTCTGGATCTTTCCAAGTGCAAAGGGTCAACGGCTTATACCCAACAAAGTGCCCTATCGCATTTGACGAACTCCGTATCTGGCAAGGAATACGGGGGTACCTACTTACTTATATTTTCGATGTCAAATTTCTTTTTTAATCGAACACAAAAGTTTTAAACTGCCGATGACCTATTTTATTAGTAGCTTTACGCAGGGTTCCGTACCATGAAACAAACTAGGTGTGGAACAGTCTATAACAAACAAATCTTTTAAAGAATTGATAGCGATACTGCTGCTAGATATGCCGCCAATCGACCGATAAGAACTAAATACCTAAAGAAATAGGGAAATCAATTAGGAGATAGTGAAGCAATTTATCATAAGCTGATTTAATTTTGAAGACGTTGATTGACATAAAATTGGCACATTGATTAAGTATATATTTTTTTAGTATGTTCATCAACATGTTCATATAAAAAAAGTAGGTAAAAACCGGACAAGAGCGAATCGGACTCCTCCACGGAGGATTCCGTACCATATATGAATGATGAACTATAAAAATCCAAAAACATGTTTGTTATGTGGCAGTCCCCTTAAATATTTGGTTTATTCTGCTTTTTAGTATTTATTATTATAGCGAAAACAAAAATACCTATATATAACATCACATCAGTGAAAATTTCTAATATGCAACACAGTTCATGCATAATATATATCGCATACCTAGATCTAAACTAAGACAACTCAAAAAACTAATGTGGAGGTCTGACAATACATTTGTTTACGTGAGAGCGCGACCGCTGTTGATTCAACAAAAGAAAGCTAAAGTTATCTAGCGACTCATCCCCGAACCTTTATTGAATCTGTTATGTTGAATAGATGCCTATGATCACCGAATATTTGAATATTGTACTAAGTCAAAACTCACTCAAATTTTTGAGTTGTCTCAGTTTAGATCTAGGTGTGCGATATAGTGACTGACGGACAGTCAGTCTGCTGGACAGCAGTTTCAGCGATAGTGTCCTGTTTTATTTACTTGCTACGGAACCCTAGAAACGGAAAGAAAATATACAAAACAGGAACACGGTAGGCAATAAAATTGTCTTTTTATTATGTCAGAATAGAACATGTAGATTTATTTATAAGTTACTTATCAGATTTTGTGGCCTAAACCGTACCTATTACAAACCATTATTATTATAGGGTAAAATACCCAGTGCTCTGCCTTATAATGAGAATCTTAATTTGATTTTAGTTATTTAACAAATAAGGGCTTTAAACAAGAACAGTTATTTTTATCAGAAAAGTTGTTTATTATATGTTCTAAAGAAATCAACAAAATGTTATAATTAGATTATTGATTATTTAAATAATCAACATTAAACGAAATGCAGCATTTTTCAACAGTACTCGACCTCATGTGCACTACAAGTCGATGGTCTCTTATTCTGTAGCCGGCATCTTACTCACTTACGTACTCATGCAGAGTGGACATTCAAATTCTTAAATATATTCATTTTCATAGACATTAAATAAATCAACTAATTCAGTATATTTCAAATAACCGCAACTAATATTCTCTTATATCTATTTTTAGACTTCAATAGAATTTATTTTGATTCTTTTGTCTTTTACTGTTCCTTTACCTCTGATTTCTGCTTTTCAAACTTTAACTCAACACGATGAGGTTCCATAATTCAAGATTTTTATGCAAAAAAAAAAAATGCTAGGTGTAATCCTTATTAAGAGCTAATAAGATTTAATTTTATGCAGCAAAGTTAATGGTCGACTGTTGTACTCAAAAGATCCATTTTCCGGCCATCAACATACAGTCACTTTTATACAAGGCTGACTTTTGGTAAAATTAACTTATTTTCATCCAAGAGTTATATTTCATCCAAATCAAAAAACGTGAGCTAATTACTCTATGAATTTTAACGAAATTGAAGAAAATCCTAACAATACTGGATCAATTATAAAAATATCGAAATCCAATAGTCGGCGCACTGAATTATAATGTAATAAACAAATAAAATGCCTCTAACGCAAATAAAAGTTCAATACAAACATTTTATAATACAGTAGAGCGTCGATTTTCCGAACTGATTGGGGGACAGGGGTGTCCGGATAACCGGTTTTTTCGGATAATCGAACTGTATTGATATAGCCATACATATTTATTTATCCACGGGTGAATAAAAGCCATATTTACATACGTACCTTCATAATTATATCTTTATTGAAAAATAGGAATTAGAAAACAAATAAACTGAAGTATTTGTAACAAAACATTCTAAGTACAATATTGGCGAAAATCGAAGAGTAATAAGTGTAATTTACTAACGCTTAAAAAATCTTAAATTTTCGTCTGCCGAAGCAAGCCTATCGTTTACGAGCGGCTAGGTCACGTATTTTTTAAGGACATATATTTGATACTGGTCGTTCTCAACTTGTGTTTCAAACCAACGCAAGGCAATATCTAAGCAAGTAAGGGCGTCCATAAATTACGTGAGGTGATTTTTCAAATTTTCTGACCCTCCCTCCCCCCCTGGTGGGATGTCGTGAGATTTTATTCAATCCCCTCCCCCATCCCCAAATCTCACGTGAGATTTTTCAAAATGTGGGTTTCTTATTTAAACACGTTGGATTTTTTTAATAAAAAGAAAAAATAATAATTCGCTTCGTACTTTTATTTACGACTAGTTAGAGACTAGTAATCAATATTGCTCTCATTCATCGAGTCACACGTTCAGCTGACTGTGGCGCGAAAACAAAGGACGGGCTACATTGTACCGTAAATTCAAATTAAATTGAGCTATTTGGTATAAAACGAGTACCTATAGTGGTTTGACAATCAGGAGTGATGTATAATGTCAAAGTACGAATGTAATTATTTTCTTTCCAACGAATTAGTGAATGATCTTAATCTTAGACTTGTCTCTCTGTGAGGGATTCCCCGCACCGAGCCTTATTTTAAAAATTGCGTGATATTTGCCGAGACCCCCCCCACTCTCCAACGTGAGATTAGATGAGATTTGACTCGACTCCCTCCCCCCCTTAAACATCTCACGTAATTTATGGACGCCCCCTAAACGCTTCTGAAGCACCAATTGTGTTTTCAACTTCATTATCTGAACTTGCAGTAGATGAAGTGGTGTCAGTGTTATAATTAGTCATCAGATTTAATATTGTAGAAATTGAATATTTTTGAAGTCGAAACAAGTGCGCG